AAAACGGACAGAAAATCGTTCTTAATATTGCATATTTCCAATACTAGAACTGAAGCAACGGTTTGGTACACATCATGTAAGTAACCGGTAGCGTGTCGTTTCCGTGGCGTCATTTTAACGGTACCGAAAAATTTTTAACCATTAAAGTCCCCGCACACAACTTGACTGTGTGATCAACGCGATTTCACTGTGCCTCTATGTGTGTTTGTGGTGTGGTGTGTGAGTGTGTTTCTTCTAATTTACTTTCATTTTTGTTTTGTTTTCAGTGTTTGGGGGGGGGACGCAACAGATAACGTAATGTGCGCATGCGGTTTGCTATTTTAGTCCGCAAACTGAGGAATCGGGTGATGGAAGTTTGAGATGGTGGCGAAAAAAACTCACAAAGGTCTACTAATTACGACATTTAAGAAATGGGAATGCCAGTCTGATTTTTCGTATGAATCGTCCAAAGGGCGTATCACTAAACTCACCTGGGATGTATGCACAGAACACGAGAGCGAGATACGACGAGAGGCACGATTACGAGGCAAGTTGGTCATTAGATTTGTAGGCTAATCGCTATGAAAAATAATATGAAACAGTATTGGTTATTCATTAATTTACTGGTTGTAGCATGCAGAGATGAAAGTGGACTTTTCTGAAAATTCCGGGGAAAATAAATAAATAAGTGTGTGTGTGTGTGTGTGTGTGTGTGTGTGTGTGTGTGTGTGTGTGTGTGTGTTCACCACACGCACGCACGCACGCACTTGGCCGATCAAGCATGAATTAGTTTACACAAAACGCAATTCAAATACTCGACATTCAATGATTAATCTTCCTTTTGTGTGCACACGTGTACCCTTTGTGGCTTTCGTTCGGGCCGAAATTTCGAAATCTCCAAGATATGGCGAGGCCATGAGAATGCGAGGCGAGGGTATTACGACACGATTTTCTGCCAATCTGTGTTTTATATTTTTTTACGACAACTGTCTGGTCCACGGCGTCTTTTATTCGTTCCACTGGGGTTTCGCAAGTGTGTTTATAAAGAGACGAAAATTGTTTTGGGGACTATCCCCCACATTCTAGTTGAGATGGTATAACCCAAGAGGCAAAATGACGCTTGCTACTGTTGTTGCGAGTTGCCATTCGTTCTACTAAACCATTAGTCAAACGCCATCATGTCTTCTATGGCTACGCTCGTGAAAGCAATACAACGAACTCAAACGCGTCTTCGTTCAATGTTGTCAACAAATATCCGGATTATGCAAATTTTCCTCAATTCTCCGGAGAAATTTTCATAAAAATTTGAAAAACCCGGAATTCCGGGAAAATCCGGAGGACTTTCATCTCTGAGCATGCTACCTTTATGAATAAAACATTCGTCACAAGGTTTAGGAATGCTAATTTTTCCATTCCGAATTTCTCCATTGCGAGACTAATAAAGGTTTTCTTATCTTATCTTATCTTAATATTCACTGTTGCAGAGACTTCTATTCCTGTTTGTTTATTTATTTATTATTTTTTTCCGGAATTTTCAGAAAAGTCCACTTTTATCTCTGCTGTTGGTAGAACTAATGATGACCTGTGTTGAATTTGAAGGTTGTTTGAAAAAAATGCCGACCGTAAAGTTTTTTTTCGAGGTAGAAATTCTCGGTCGGTCGGGTTACCGGAAACACACTATTTTTTTTTTCTACGCCTAACCAAGGCTTATGAAACAAGTGCCTATACACATCTATAAATAACAACGAAATTAATTAACTAATAGTGCTTTGTGGTTCACTCTTCACAAATAGTGGATTATCTTTCAATAATAATGTCAAAACACAATATAGGCCTGCAACAGAATATGCATGCTTAGCATTGAAAATAGCTGCGACTAGCATGCAGTAGCCCATATGCTAATATAGATAGCCCAAACGCTCACGTGGCATAGAAAAAAACGGACAGAAAATCGTTCTTAATATTGCATATTTCCAATACTAGAACTGAAGCAACGGTTTGGTAGACATCGTGTAAGTGCAGTCTAAACAGGATTCAACTCACAGACGATGCTTTCCAAGGCATATACTCGAGAAGAAAACAAGAAATGAAAACAACAGCTAGCACGAAACCATGCGGTCTTCGGACGAGTACTTCCGGGTTGGTTGCCATATTTCAAGTCCCCTAGAATCTAACTAAAAACGGAAAATGACAAGTACTTCCGGTTTGTGTTGCCAAAATTAAAGTTTCCTAGAATTAACTAAAAACGGAACATGACATACTTTTTGGTATTGATTAGCAGTGATGTGCCCAACTGTGCCGAGGCGCCGATGCGTGTGCCAAGTAGTGATGTTACAAATGGAACCGGAGTCGCGAGTCACGCCCCGCACAAAGGGGGCATCGTTAAATGACTGCGGTCAAGCCAGGCTGTACTCGCAAAATTGAAGTCAAGTGAGCCGCCACTGCGATTGTCAGTGCTCTGCATTACGGTAATCTGCCGCCAGCGAGTGGCGTTGGCCACCTTCAAAATAAAAGCGACTCCACTAATGCATAAACGTCATTTGTTTGAGTGAAAAGAAATTAATTAAAAAATAAAATAAGTACTTTCTTGGCTGTCGGGTCAAGATTCACAGAGGAAGAACAAGAACTCTCAGAACAGCACCAATAAGCGTTCTCAAGTGGAGAAAATAATGTCAATGGTAATTCTCCATCAATTTCACTTGATATTAAAAATAATTCTTCATCAATTTCACTTGATATTAAAAAAAGTCATGAAAACAATCAATCTGGGTGATTGCGCAACCACAGCAGGTTGTTGACACACTCGGGCACGCCAGGTATACAACCACAGTACTGGCATTCAGATCGAATGTTCCATGACCAATTAAAATGCTTCTCAAATATGACATTTTGAGCTCCTCTCCTTATTTCAAAAGATTCTTAAAAATGAATTTCAGCTGTCCCTCAATCAAACCAGGCGTGTGGGACACTAGAGCACTCCAGGTATCCAACAGGACCACCCTCATTCGGATCTGATGTCGGCCTCTGAAAAAATAAATAAATATATATATATATATATATATATGCAATAGAACAAATGAAGCCTCATGATGCTTCGGCCCAGGAGCGAACCAGTTGGATGGAAAGCCTCATTGCCTCATGATGCTTCAGTTTACCATCACGAGTGATTAGTGATGAGACGAAATGGGCCGAGGCTCTGAAGCTTGTGTCAAGTAATGGGAGGGGCGTTTCCACAAAGCTTGTATCGAAGCACGCGTCATTTCGGCAAATAATGACGTATGAAGCCTTGCCGGCCGGCTGAATCACGTGAACGCTTTGTGAGTGGTCCGACGGTTGGCGCGCATTGCAAACACAGTACAGACTATGGTATAAATAGGTTGCAAAACGCAATGGCGATCGCCTGTTATCTCACATTTTGTGGATTTCGGGCTCCTGTACTTGTTACACTTGTGCGCAACAGTGCAATCTTTTTTCGAGCCTTGTCCATTGCTTGCGATGGAACCTGTGTGAAAAAGGCGATCCTCCCCTGTTTGGGAACATTTTGATTTGATTGCTTCCAATAAGGTAAGGGAGAAAAACGACATTAATTAATTAAACAATGCAGCTTTTCGCTTGTTCTTGTGTCTAACTATTGTTATTTCACAGGTGAAGTGTCTGTTGTGTGCAAGGGAACTTGTATACAATAACATCTCGTCTACGTTGAGGCATTATAGAGCCTTGCATGAGAGCAAGGAGAGCCAAAGAAACTGGGCCATACCTACCCAAATTTATATAAACTGGCACTCGCATTTCTCTGCACCCCAGCTTCATCTGTGCCTTGTGAAAGAATATTTTCTAAAGCTGGTGAAATATTGTCCAAAAAAAGAAACCGTTTCAAGCCAGCCACTGTGGCAAAGCTATTATTTCGAAATAAAAATGAATAACAAATTATCCTTAGCACTTGTTGTATTTTGTTCACATACTAAATTCTTAACACAAGCACATTCATATCTTTGTCTTAAGTAAATAGCCATTGAATTCTTAACACTGTATACCTCTTGGGCTTCTAGACCACTTGATGGCGGCATAGACAGCACGATAAAGCTTTTCTACATGTGCAAACCAATTGGCTGCAAAGCTTCATGAGGCTTCATTTGGCCATCACTACCGTAAAGCTTTTCATCCTCTCGATCCGTATAGAGTGACATCGTCACACAATGTACACAGAGCTTATGTAAGAAATAAAACCAGACCCTACCCACCCCCCCCCAGAAAAAAAAAATTCTCAACGGATTTGGAACAATATAAAATACGTCAATTTTGACTGAAAAAACGCGGAATTCCGCCAAAAAGCAGACAAATGTCATCCCTGCATCAGTTTCCTTACTTCAGTAATTCAGTACACAGTAGAGAGCACTTGCTGTATTTAGTGAAAAAAGGATTGGCCTTTGGTATTGGATATTAGAAAATGCCAACTGCGGTGCTATTCACCGCAGTTGGCATTTAGGTTATTGGTCCAAAACTAACGCAGCCGTGAGTCACTGATAACGTGGTTCACACGACAGCCTTGTGTGCAGTTAGCGTGGGATTAGTCCCCACTCCGTGACTGTGTGAATGTTAATTTGTCTCTATATGTGCACTACGACTGACTGGAGAACAGTTCAGGGTGTAGTCTGCCTTTCGCCCGAAGTCGGCTGGGATCGGCTCCAGCAACCCCCAGCGACGCTCCTCAGGATAAGCGGTGTTGAAAATGGATGGATAATGCTGCCATTTGGATGGCCAAATGGCAGATTTTAAAAGGTAGAAAATCTAAAAGGATGACCTGTAGACTTTCTAGTATTAAACGGAATCATTACCTGTTCATTTGTGTAAACAGCTGGAAATGTGTGCTTCTGATGACTACGTTTATCAGAACAGAGCAACAAGAAACAATCAAGTTTCTCGTGCCAGAATTTGGATTTTGTCAAACGCACAAAAAAGGAAAGGGCTCATCAGTAGTTTGAGAGCATCGGCACAAGGGGAAAAAAATTAAGCACACAAGAGCATGTGGCCAAATTCTTTATTTTTTTAAAGATTCAGAGACATGAGCTCTAACGGTAACGATGCAGTTGCAGGGTGTTGCGCCGCTTCCAGGCTGCACGACGGGATCCTCCAATGGTCTGGTGGAACTTGTGACCCTTGCCCAGCCCACGGCTCTTCTTTCCTGCAGAGGTTAGGCCACGCATCTCTCTGTGCTTGTGCACAGGCTTTGTGATCCATTGGGTGTCTGGGTTGCGCCTAATTGTCTTATGGAATGGGTCTATCAAAATCACCTCAAAGAACTTGTAGGTGGAGTCCTCGCCCACCCAGTAGGAGTTGAGCACCCTCAGGCCACCACAGTGACGGCCGGCACGGCCCTGCAACAAACATAAAAAGTTGGTTGAGTCTTCCTTACGGGTCACAATCCACCTCCAAAAAAAAAAAATCGATGAACCACGATTCAGGAATATGTATGGGCCAATTGCCACTGGAGCAAGTATTCTTCTAAGGTCATCTTCTGTTCTATTTGAAATGTGAAACAAATGCATTATTTTAGGAAGTTAGATCAGATTTATGACAGACTCTACCCATGAGTAGTATTTTCTTTTGCTGTCCTGTGTTTTTTTTTTTGTGCTTTATTTGTACATTTTTGTTGGTGCTTGTTTTTAATGTTTCAGGTTGGAGTTTTGGTCAAAATGTATTCCTTACACAAAAGTAGAGAGAAGTCCTTAAAATCAGATATTATATACTTGACGTGAAGTTCTGTAATAAGACGTGAAGTTCTGTAATAAAAACAATTTCCCCGAAGGACATACAAAAAAATAATAATTCCAATGACATTTGGACATCGAGTTAAACACAAAAACAGAACACGATTTACAGGTCATTTTCAACCGATATTTAAATTAATACACGACAAAGATGGGATATTGAGACTGTTTGTAGAAACTAATCAGTGACTTCGAATTTTATGGCTGATCCAAAAAAGCAGGGACAGGGTCATGTTCACGGCGTCACATCACCCTTCCTTTTAACATTGAAGAAACATTTGGGAACCGAGGACGCTAATTGTTAACAGTAGGACTCTTGAGAACCGTTATTTTGACGGTATTCAAACTTTGATGCTCTTATTTTGCATAGATATTTTTTAAATCTCCTGGCCTATTGACTTTTCCCAGTTCTGCATATATTTCATCCCCATGATACAATTTTACAAGTCGTTATATTATAAATCGCAGTTTTTCCCCCATAATTTGCCCGGGGAGGGACTTAATCCTATGGAGCGACTTGTGTGTGAAATGAAAATATGGCCATTTTTTTCATTTCACGTGTTATTCTCTCATTAAACCGCAAGAGGTCGTGCTTGGCCTGTGTTGATACTTTCCACACTGGCGCTAACTGATCAAAACAGCTGCCTGAGTCTGACATAAGCGAAATAGAAGAGGAAGTGCTGCATCTTCTACCTCTGGAGTTCGCAGTTCTTTAAAAAGTACCAGAGGATGAAGATTTCGAGGCTTTGGTGAACTTGCTCGCATTTTTGTTCTGCTATAGTTTTCTGTATAACTCCAATATGTGACGTGAACGTACCAGGCACATTCTCAGTTCGGTGTTTATGAGTTATGTGACATTAGCATATCGTACACTTAGCCTGTTGTTCTCTATTGTTATAGTAATCCCTCGTTTATCGCGGTTAATGGGGACCAAAACCACCCGCGATAAACGAAAATCCGCGAAGTAGTGTCCAATTAACATAAACAGGGAATTTTTTTTTAAGTCCGCGAGAAGCTGCAAAACAACAGCGAGTCACATAGAGCAACGTATACAGTACTGTACTCCATGTATATGTAAAAAAATAAATAAATAAATAAAAATTTTATATGTGTGAAAAAATCCGCGATGCACTGAACCCGCGATAAACGAATCGCGAAGTAGCGAGAGATCACTGTATTTGCCTTTCAAGATGACATATCTGTTCTTGATGTTGGAATTTATCAAATAAATTTCCCCCCAAATTGCGACTTATAGATGCTTTTTTTCTTCTTCATTATACATTTCATGGCTGGTGCAACTTAAACTCAGGGGAGACATATAGTCCGGTAAATACGGTATGTAGAAAAAGTGGGAGATCTTTCGAGTCCAGCTCATAAAAAAATTGGAGCAAAAACAAACAAAAAAAGTATTTCACATTTTTGTTCGATGTAAATCAGTCTCCAGGAATAAGATCGGCAAATCAATAAATCTTGGATCACATTTGATTGTTGGTCTACATTCGGGGCACGTACCTCAGCGGTGGCTTGTAAACTGCGGGCAAACTTGATCTGGTTAACACCGTGGTGCACGGGCTTTCCATACGTGGCACCTTTGGGCACAGGGCGTTTGCGGCCACCACGGCGCACGCGGATACGGTAAATGACATAACCTGTTTGAATGAAATACAACCCGTTACATTGTGTCGTGCCTAAATCCGAAACATCTTGAAATGTTTACATTGCTGCTTAAGTAAATATCAGTCCACAAACGCAAATACATTAAAGTCATTTGAATGATCATGGACAGAGTTAAATCACAGCACTGACATACTGACATACCCCCCCCCCAAAAAAACGATAAATACAATGGCATCACAAATCAATGAACTCCACAGAGGACAAGATGACCAATGTATGTCATTTACCTTGTTTCGCCTTGTAACCCAACCGACGAGCTTTATCAGGTCTGGTAGGTCTTGGTGCGCGGTGAAGGTTTGACAGTTGGCGGTACTGCCAGCAGCGCACACGAAGCAAAAAGCGCATCACATCTGACTGCTTCTTGCGCCACAACTCCTGCATATAGCGATATGCCCCCATGTTTTATCTGCGAACAAAAACAACAAAAAAAATCATGTAAGAAAGAAATTAGTTTGAATTCAAGTGTGTACCACAGCTTCCTTCTTATTTTTATAATTATAATTTAACCTTGCTGCACAATTGACCGGCCCTTGCACTGACAGAACGATTGCATCAATTCATCACCGAACTCGACGGACAATATTTTCTGACTTGTGCATGTGTGACAATTGACTTGTTTCCGTCATTATTCGTTTACGAAAGTCTGATTGAGTCTCATCTCAGAAAACTGCACGAAGGCTGGTTATAAATGTTTCCCATGTCTATTTTTAGATATGTACAGTAGAATCCCATCTCTCGCCTTGATTTGTGATGATTTTTAGGCAGTATTTCTATGTGTATTGCAGGCACGGCAGGATAACTTCTTTGACCGCCCAAAAAGTGTTGAAAGCTCGCTCGCTTTTTTAAATATTAACATACCTAATTTTTGGTTATTTTGGGGGGGGGGGGGTCATGAAGACAAAGTTGCATCTAATTTGTATGATGCAGATAATAAGGTGCCAAAATTTCAACTAAATAATTTTATAGTTAAACCTTGTTGGTGCAAACCGGCGTCCGTCACAGACCATTCTACAGGGTGTCCCATAAGTCTCCATGCATAGGAAAATATTCCATATATATATATGGTTCTAAAATCTACATTTATATTTCACATAAAGAGCAAAAGAATGAAATCATCTATATAAAAATATTATATTAAAAACGGTTTGTGTTAAGAAACGTTTATTCTTCAAGGTATGGAGACTTATGGGACACTGTGTTGCAAGGGTCATTTTTGAAGTTTTTGTATTGTCGTAACTTCCTTAGTTCTGAACATGTTGACAAAACTAAAACCGTTGTGTTCCTTTCCTCAAGTGCTTTTCGGTGACATTATCTTACGGAAAAAAAAAAGATTCGAATTTTGTGGGAACGTACGTTATGCTAGACGAGGACAGCGATGTCGGTTACAGGTCGGGCAAATATTGAATGACCATATAAAACGCCTTTAAGCATTAAGATAAAACGCCTTTAAGCATTAAGCAGCCAGTTTTACAAAGAATATGATCTTCAGTGTAACATACAATGAGTAATATTTACTTCTTGGAGCGCCGCTTACTTATAGTATGCCGAGGCAATTTTAGCATCAACAAATATGGTTTTTAGTCATGAAAACAAACTCTCCGTCGGGAAATAATCAACGCTACCTCTTCACCATTCTAGTGTACATACAACAATTAACACCTGATAAAAGGATGCACATGTACAGTATGAGATTTCGATAGATTGTACTCAAAGGAATTGCATTAAGCCTCACTTACATGATGGCGTACCAGCCGGAAAGAGAGCGAACTATTAGCAAGCATGCTATTTCAACACGCTTCTGACGTATTTCCTTTGTTGAATTGGATTCGGTGAATTACGCCCCCTACTGGACTGGAGTCTGGATCAGCAGAAGAAGAAAAAGAATCAGAAGAAGAAAAACGTTTATTTGTCTCATAATGGAGAAATTCGCAATTTACAGCAGCAACAATTATGACAAAGAGAGAGTAGAAAAAAACAAAACAAGTATTTGCATACACAAAAACACTTTAAAAACAGTTTAAAAAATGGAACTGCACACAGTACAGTACAAAGTGAAATACATACATATATATATGTGTATATATATATATATATATATAACAATGCAAAATGGCTATGCTATTTATAATGGGTGAGTCCAGGTTTTCACGTGTGTTTGTATTATTCATGAGGCAGACGATCGGGGAGTCATCAGAGAACTTCTGAAGGTGGCAGGTTGGAGTGATGTAGAAAACCAGGAAATAAGATTTAAAAATGAATCAATTAAAAAAGGCGAGAGATGTCCAATGTCACAATAATTTTATTACACTTGTTTATTTTAACCCTGGAGAATCAACGGGGTCTAATTTGGCCTCTATAAATTCTGATACTCAAATGCTACCCTTAAATCCCAAAGGGTCAAAATTGGCCCGAATCCTAAATTAGGATTAAAGCATTGAATATTTGAAAAAAAAAACATAGTTTGGTGTTCAGTGAACATATAGCAGTCATTTAATGTATAATTGATCATTTTCCAAAGAAGAAAAGGGTTCTTGGGTTCTCCAGGGTTTAAACATGTAATGAATAAATACACAAAAACAGGATTGAATCGTGGCCCGGGAGCCTCTCCCTGTTGATTTTGCAGGCTTCACCCTGAACTCGTCGCCAGTCGGTCGACACGTACAACGCGGCCGGCGATGCGCCAAAAGGTTCACTCCTCTACGATCAACCAAAGAATGCCAGGGAGTGTGAGGCTTCGCCATCGCTACAATCTATTTCATAAAGTTTATTCATTTGGTTTGGCGGCGGGCAGATGTCGCGCGCTTCGAGGACAGGCGCTATCGCGCGCGTGAAGACGTGTTTGGGGTGGGTGACGTCATGACGTTTTTTGGAGGGGGATATTGGGGGGGGGGGATGCAGGATCCAAAAAATGCCCTCTGAAAAAGTGCAGGGGAAAGGTGCCCAAGTTTTCCTTCCGTAAATTACGCCTATAATAACGTATGGATCGTAATCTCGATTGGCAATTGCAACCTCTCTCCTGATACCCACGCCAGTCCGGTAGATGGCGATAATACATCTGAAAGCAGTGGATGCCAACCTCCATTCAACCCAGACAAGAACGCGTGTGTCTCCGAAAACCGCGTTTGATTTACGGACTTTGCTTTGTGGGCTATCTTTATCCTGCTATTTTCCTGGATTGGTTGCATTACTCTACTGTATGAAACATGGAGTCAATTTTAGAGCAGCAACGTCGCTATCATGAAGAAAAGGAGAGGCTAATGGATGCTAAAACCAAAGAGGTGTTACATAAAAAATCGACGGTGAGTGTTACTGGGTTATGCTAGAATTAGCATTACTGTATAACTAACAAAGACGTTCAAATGAATAGTATCGTTGTTTACTTGAATGCTATTGTATTGTGTCAACAGTTGCGAGAGCAGATCAATTCGGATCACAGGACAAGATCCATGTTGGACGTAAGTTTCTTAAAATATATTCATTCGCGGTGGTTATTTTCCCTTTGTCGACAAGCGTAATTTAGCCGTAACTCGCGTGAGAACTACACGTACACCGGTTAGTGTGCCAGCTCGTAGGTTACACTTGAACTTTTCTTCATTACACCTCCAACCTATTTTTTAAGTTAAATTGTCCCTTTTTTTATTATTATTAACCTCCTACTTTACCCTAACCATATCCGTTTATTTTTGTAGGGCCCAAATAATTTTGCCGATTCTTTTTATACCACGAGCTACAGCAAAGTTGTTCATTTGCTTAACTAGTTAATATTTCAATAAATATGATACAGAACGGCTCATTTACAATTCCCAACTGGCTGCAAGAAATTGTAAACATAAAAAGGTACAGCGCATGATTCAAACTTGTGACACCAAAGGATAAAACATCACCGAAATAAACGGGTATTCGAGGCAGAAAAAAATGCCTCGATCATCTGTATATTGTTATAAAACACAACTCTACTGCCCCTATGTATGTCTGCTGAAATTTCTCAGCAGTGCAGTATTGCCTGTCGTGTGTACACTTGATAGTTCACTGAAATGCCCGCGATCTTTACACCTTTCCCATTTGCTAATCCTGCCATCATTTGTTGTCTGATGTACACTGACTGTCATTTCTTTTTTGTAGCGGTATATGGAAGTGAGTGCCAATCTCAGAGACTCTTACGAAGACAAAGATGGGTGAGTCCTTGTTTTCCCAGTTTTAAGAAACATGACTACTTCGATCAAAGAAAGAGTTATTTGCATATCAGGCACAACACTTAATCTTTTTTTCTTTTCTGCCAACACACCACAAACACTCACTGGCTAACAATGTTATTTACACGCATTACAAAAAATGTAACTTTATTGTTGGATGGAATTAATATATAGGCTCTATTAGTGGCAGTCTTCCCTACAAACAATTTAAGTAGCACATCACATGTTGAAACGGGGTGTTCACAGATATGTGAAACATTTTGTATACTAGCAATAACGTGAAACAGCCCAGGGATTTTTTTTTAAACTTTTGCTTTAAAGGGACACTTGGACAGACTGAGCATTGGCGCTTATATAATAAATATGCGTGTAAAAATTACATCAGAACTAAAATTCACTCCCTAAAAAGTAATTTATGGCTTTCTTTCGGGATGAGATTCACAACAAATTGACGCGCCCTCTTTTTGAGTTTGGCTTGTTATTTTGTCAGTCTCAGCTGTCTACGTCAAATGCATCTAAGATCAAACCACCTTTTTCTATTCCCTGTATTACTGGTAATATGCAGCAACTGAATATTCTTGCCTTCTTTCGCCATGACAGAAGCATCACAAAACGATTTGGACTCATTGCCGCATTTGTGTCCTCTGTCACGTGGCATTTACTGGGGAGAAAAAGTACTGGTAGCCCTATTTGCCAGTGTGCAGCGTTTGGAAGAGTTATCTGAAATCTAGAGCTTTACACGAGAACCCCTCAAATAAGCCAGTTAGAATAGGACAAGGTGATATGGCTTTCAAAATAAAATCTCAGATCCCCCGCAAAATATATATAATTTCTCATATAGGTACATTTTTACTCTTTAAATGCAAATGAGAATCAAATGACAATGATAATATGAAAAATAGTAACGCCAATATTTAGCATTTTGCCACTTGTCGACATCAGCCTTTTTTTTGACAGCATATAAACACAAGGGGCACTTCTGCTCGCAACAGGAAGCTACTTTGCTTTGAGGCTCTCCCATTGTCACAGTGCAGAGCTAATTTGCTACGTCAATCGCATGGCTACAGAGAGAAATTTAACCACTTGGAATAAAGTTGCTGATAATATTTAGAGGGAAATAGTGTTACAAGTAAGAAGTGAGTGAATGGCAGCGTTTTCGTGTCTGTATGAAAGCCGGCTTTATTTATAGAGCACTTTGAAACAATCACCGCTATATACACAGTACATGGTAAAAGTTGACGACGAAGCACTGAAAGTGAAAGTCTTCTCTTATAACCGTTTCGAGCTGTAATTTTAATTGTTTTCCCCTGCTCTCATGGAGAGCCAGTGTGGCTGAGATGGCAACTGCATATGAGACGCACAAGAATGACTGAACACTCACAAAAAGCAACGGGGACAAAACACAACCGTGTTGATGAGACTTTCATTTTTTTTCTGGCTAGTTGCTGCGTCGCCGAAAAATATCTTCAACATGTTGTAAATCACCAAAGCCGTGTTTAAAAAAAAAAAAAAAACATGCTAAAAGGGATTAAAACAAAGTAACTTCAAAATGGCGCCGCGAGAGTGGCTGCCTTTCCAGCAGCTCCTATATTTTGTTGTTCTACTTCTTCCTTTCATAACTTTGCTGCTGTGAATTGTGAATTTCTCCATTGCGAGACTAATAAAGGTTTTCTTAATCTTAAAGTGTTGGGATTTCTTCTTTTTCAAAATGTTGACACAATTTTCATTCCTTTTTTTTTTTTTTTTTTTTTGCAAACGAATATGGGCCTCATATACCAGTGAGCGCCCTGTTTCACTGCTAATAATTCGTATCGGTAATTTGAAAAAAAAAGCATTTTGGTCTGTCACTAATTACAAACTCAGAGATGGCCCTGTAAACACGAACCTTCACAAATTTTAATCAAAAACATTTCAAACGCGCTACAATGCAACATCAAATATATTCCCTTTCAGCTTAATATGTAACAGCTGAATATCACATGAATGATAGATAGCACACACACAAGAAATCTACTTGAGTGTTCGGTGTAAAGTAAATCTGGACGGTACACAAAAAAGGTGTTTTAGAACATTACATGACCATATTTATAATTTCAAAATTAGCAGTGTGTAAAATAAGCAGAGCTTGTTGTAAAAATGTTGAAGTACCCAGCGCCTCACCTTTCAATATATCCTTTACGCGGGTGCTGTTTTCGTGGCAACATGCCTCTTCTCCTCGATAGCCACCATCTTTTTGCGGCTTAATACAAAGCCATGCAATGCGACCGATTGTATGGGGACCCCCAAAACCCGACCGAGGCTGGCATCGTTCATATGGCGGGAGTCCACACATCACATCGCCATGTCATGCATCAACACATACACAACCATTGTCATGTGCGGGGATGAGAGCTCACCTTTTTTTTTCCCCTGCAAGCCACACAACACATCCATCTAAATTCTTAACCGCTTATCCTAACTCCGGTCATGCGTGCACAAATCATCATGTATCATTAAAGCGCAATGAGAATTTAATTATTTTAATTTATTGCTGACTTTTGGGGCGGCACGGTGGTCGACTGGTTAGCCCCTTGTGCCTCATAGTGCAGAGGTACGGGGTTCGATTCCGGCTCGGGCCTTCCTGTGTGCAGTTTGCATGCTCTCCTCGTGCCCGCAT